TCAGTCTTCGTCTCGAAATGAAATCGAATTTTTCTAGCATTTTTGAATGACGCGCGGTCGGTCATAAAAGCGAAATTGTACTTGTCCATAATGTCACGATTCATCAAGTTGCGGTTTCCCGATAAACTTCACCGTATCGCTTTCGTTCGAAAGGCGAGACGGTCCTTCCTGATAAACCGTGCCGCTCGTTACGTTTCCAATCGGCGATATATCGCTTACGCGGCCGGCCGGCACTACCACGAACTTATCTGCAGCACTTTTGCAGCACGGAATCTCCGAGAATTCAGCAAGACGCGCGACGGCGCTTCAGCGGGAATTGTTAATGTCACTTTCGCGTCCGAGAGAGTGCGAAAGTGACATTAACAATTAACTGCGACAGCGCGGTAATACTCTCTGCGGCAAGGTGAATTCTGACTGTGCGTTATCTGATTCTCTTATCTGTCTAATATCTCTCTCTCTCTCTCTCTCTCTCTCTCTCTCTCTCTCTCTCTCTCTCTCATCTGATGTCACATGAGACGTAACCTAAGGATTTAGCGTCCAGCGATAAGATCGATCGAGAATCGAGAATCGAGAGGGATCGAGTCGATTCTGAGCTCCGAAGTGAGACAGTTAAGTCGGTTGAATAAGAGGAGAGGGATTGCGTTCACGACCGAAGATTGTGTCGCACGTATGCAAAACGTATGTATTTGTCGCAAGATCTATCGCGGCGGGAGGCTGCTATCGAAAATTTCCGCACGGAGAAATCCGCGTCGACGCGACAGATATCTCGTCTCGCATGACAGATAACACGTCATTATCGGTGTTAATAAGCGAGCGGCGGTTACAATCATCGAGAGAAGCGATCGTTGGAAATAAACGAACAAGAGATCGATTGCAGACGCGTGTTTGCTGAGTGTGCTGGAAGAGGACATATTTTCAGCGTTTAAGGCCCACATTTTTTTCACGGGGCGGCAGGGGGGCAGGGAAAGGAGTTAAATTAAAGCTTTCCAGCTTCAATTAACGAGCAGCAAACCGGCCGCGGTCGCGGCGCGATCGGCGAATCGGCGCTGCGCTGCGCGTTCGCCGCATGCGAACGTAAACAGTCGTGCGATCGCAGATGCTGCTGTTCGATCCGGAAGTGGGCCGGCGAACTCTTCCGATGGCAGAAAGAGTCAGCCAGCCAACCGGCCGCGCATCCAATTACCTTTGCTCCGTTCCGTAGAGAGAAAGGGAAAGTCAATCGGGTGAAAGTCACTCGCCGGGATAGTATTTGCTTCTGTTCATCTCTCCCTCTCCCTCTCCCTCTCCCTCTCTCTCTCTCTCTCTCTCTCTCTCTTCTCTCTCTCTCTCTCTCTCTCTCTCTCTCTCTCTCTCTCTCTCTCTCCCCGATACAGGCTTACGTGGCGAGAGAGTGCGCCGCGGCCTTAAAGGCCTCTTATACGGCCACTTTTTTCGCCACTGTTTCTCCTTCGTCGGTGCGTTTCGGCGCGTCCCGCGCGGCGAAGTTTTACCGGAAAATGCCTCGTGGTCATTCGACAATTTCGTCTCGTTACTCGCGCCGAATACCTCGAATACCGGATCGGGAGAATTACCGCCGCGCGCATCGGTGAAACTCACCTTTCGCGTGATGATCTCGCCACATGTATGGCCACATACTCGCTTTTCCGTGTATCGCCGAGCGCGACTGCGAGCGTGTCTGCATCCCGTCCGGGGTGAGGCGGCGGTATATTTGAAGATGCGCTGCGCGTCCCGAAATTAGAACGCTGACGTTACGTCGGCACATTCGGGGAAATGACGACGCTGGGAGCAATCGGCGAGCCGATCGGGACGCGAAGCGCGCCAAAGTGGCGGATGCGCGGAAAAGCTTTGCGGAAAAGAGCGCTTGGCGAGCGCTCGGCGCTGTAACATTGACCTAAACCAGCGGATGCTAATTGCGCCATTCTATCTAATGACGCATGGTGAAAAGGAGGCCTCCATTAACATAAATTGTTTCTCATACCTTTGCGATTTTATCGCACGCGCTGCCTGCAACAACGGGACGAGCGCGAGCGCGAGCGCGAGCGCAAGCGGCGCGCACACGCTCACGATCGGAAGGTATATTTACCCGCGTCGTCGTGCCTACATTACCTCGTCATCTCGCGCTGCCACTATTGCACTGTTATAATACTACGGGCGGCGCGCGAGGCTGCATTAGATCCCGCTACGCTTCGCAGCCGATTGAAGATTTTACGGACAGGCGTGCGCGCGGCAATTTGTTCCCCCGCGCGCGCGCGTTGTGTCGTGTTGCTGTAAATATATATATATATATATATATACATGACGTTTTGAGAGGGACTGTCGTTCCTTTCCCCGCGTTCCCTTCTCGTCGCGTTCGCATTCGCCCCCCTCTCTCGGCGATCGGGGATTTCGATTGTACTTCCAGGCCGATATGCACGGCTGTAATGTAAGCGTTAAATCGCTCTACTTCTCGCTGAAAAGTATGTAGTTCGTCGTCGTCGGTATTACGCGGTCTGGTCGCGCATGACGAGTTTGGTGTTAAGTAATATATTACGCGAGAGACGTTGCCTTAACATTTACGTCGTGCATTTTTTCTCTCGTCTGTTTTTACCGAGATGTAGATCTGCTGCATCTTTGGTTAGTAAGATGGTTTTATCGAAGAAAATCGAAGAAAAACGGGAGGTAGCACTGACAATAAAAAATGAAACTTGATACTTGTGTTGAAAATGCTCGATCACTTCTCTTGTCGTCTATACGTTAGGTCTGTTTCAGAATCGGCTTCGAAAACTTTGGTTTTTAGCTAATTAATTATCAAGATAACAAATAATAAAAAATCTATTCATTTCTCTATATAATATTATGAAGTTAATAGCTAAAGCCAAAAAGTTTGCAAACAGAAGTAGCACGTGGCTGTAAACGTCCAAACGTGATCAGCCGATTAATTACGGGACCAATTTAGATCCAAGTTAGATGAAGACCTACCAATCTTGTAACTAAAAAAACCAAAGTCTCCGAAACCGATTTCGAAGCAGGCTTATTGTTACTCTTACCGGCGTAATAATTCTAAAATAAGTGAAATTCGTTGAATTATATTTTCTTAACCACTAATTGGTCTTTCTTTCATCGTCGGCTTACGCGTCAAGCTAAAACGATGAGTTGACACAGAATCAATCATCTGGATATATTCCCTCGTCGACACGACGGACTCGCATACACTACCGCGATCCTCGACGATGGATGTGCGCTTTGGGTATGCATTTTATGCGAGAAGCGCGAGGAGGGTAAGTTCCATTAAGGAGGCGGCTGGGGAATGTTATGGTCCGCGGTGCATGGCCAGGAGTACACCCCCGTGGCCTTGCTGATATCCACTCGCGCGTTTCTCTCTACGTGTACACGACACGTGAAGATTCATCGTGGTGCAGGACGAGTCGAGTCCAACCGAGGGACAGCCTTGTTTTCGCGGGACATGCAAGTCGAGAGGGCCGCCGCTATCGGCTACCGATCGTTTTCCTCCCTCAACCTCCTTTTTTTCGTCTCTCTCTCTCTCTCTCTCTCTCTCTCTCTCTCTCTCTCTCTCTCTGTCCTTTCGGAAATTCAGCGTCGCTCCAGCGAACATTGCACATAACAATATACTATTTGCGCTGCGATAGAAATCGTTGGTCTGCAATTTTCGTGTATAGATAATACCGCGCGCAAGCTTCTTTTAAATAAAACTTATTTTTTATACGATGTTCATTCCTCGGCGAATCGACGCATCGCAGTTCTCGGAGTAGGCGACAGACAATCGATTGATCCTCCACTTGTCGATCACTGACAGGTGCGTCGTGCCGACGTCACTCGACTACGGACTATTGTCGCAAGGGATATTTTTCTTTCCATTTTTTTCCCCTTTTTTCTAAACGATTCGCAGAGATAGACGAAGAGCGTACGTGGACTTTCGCCGTTGAAAAAGAGTCAAATGCGAGTGTCGAACGAACAGAGTGGAAGAAAATCAGCTGGTTTACACGAAAAGCTATGCACCGGAATGTGGGTTAATTCGACGTTACATATGTATGACAGAATATAGAATAACGTCCGCGGTGCGCGGCAAACTATGGCCGAGACGATAAACTCGTCGATGACACACGCTCATGCAAATGCAGAAAGGAGATAATGGGTTCATTAATTACAACTACGATTTATTCTACTCACTCGGTAGCGCAATAAGACATTCCGTTATTTGTCGAGTATCAAAGATATATCTCGGTATGCACGCGTGTCATGCACCAAACAAGGCACGTAAGAGTCATGTTGCTCTGCCTTTTTACGAGACGAGACGAGACGAGACTACTCTTCGCGACATTATCTCGTCGCTTAAACCGTTGCTTAATTCCCGATACCGCCGGCCGTTATCGCGGAGGATGTGCAGGCCTTGCCAGTTTGAGGATCAGCCTGGACAGCCAGTCAGAGGAGGGGGAATTTAGATGATATCGTAATACAGTGGCATATAATAATATTGCGACGTGTGGAGCGTCAAATAAATGGATCAATCACATAACGACGCCTCTCAGCGGCGTGTCCCGCCGCGCCGGCTGAAGGACGCGTGACTATGGAAATGACAACAACACCGTACGTGTATAAGAGCGAGCGAGCGAGCGACCAAGTCAACATAATAATCCTTGACGCGAGGGCATACGGAGCGAGCGGCGTCGTGCGCGTGATTCCCGAATTTCCCGGCTCCATCGAAGTAAATCGAACAGACGGTTTACGTTACGTCATATGTCGTATTAGCGCGTGCGGTTACAGCGCTGTCGCGATTCATCATGTCGAGCACACCAGCATTCTGTGGACTCGATGGTAACTATTATGGTCTTGCTTTTCGATTAGTTTAGAGAAGAAATAGGATCAATTTCCGAGCTTCAATCGAGTCGGATACCGCGAGTCGGTACTCAGACATCTACTACTGATGTCTTTATTTATTTCTTTTTCCATACATATCGTCACTCAATCACGTCGCTCAATCAGAAATTTGCTTATTGTTTCAGACCTACTTTCCGGAGTTGCGACCACACAGTGTGAACGCGGTTCGCGGGGGTGCAGTTGCCGCACCGGAGGATCCGGTTCGGGCCCGAGCTGCCTCGATTCGAAGGTGAGTCCCAACAATTGTCCTGTATTGTTGCAATTTAATTTTTCTAACAACTTTGCCATCGAAAACTGGGACACAACTTGTCCGAATAAAGATCGTTGCGTTGCAACTACCGTCCTGCATCGTCGATCAGTTTGAAAGAGAAATATTAATTTTCGAATCGCAACATTGTCTTAATACTCAGACATTCCTCCATTAAGGTTATTAATTAGAAATTTGCTTCTTGTTTCAGATCTTCAGACCAGAGTTGCGGCCACGAGATGGGTGCGGCTCCCGGGAGGTGCAGGTGCCGTACCGGAGGATCCGGTTCGGGCCGAGCAGGGTCGACTTGAAGGTGAGTTAACAGTTTTCTCCTGTACTCTAGCTTTTAATTCTTTTTTTTTTAACTACGTACGGTCAAAAAGTGGAACGCACTTGTTGTTCAGATAAAATTCATTACGTTACAAACAGTTGTAAAAACAGTTAACATGCTCGCGTATCTACGTGCATTTTTTACGATGAACTGTTAAACCTCGTATCTAATCAACGAAACAATATTTTTCTGCTCCAGATCTGTAGCGGAACGCGGTCGACCCTGAGTTCCTGGTATTTTGGTGAGTCCATAAAAAAACCGTATATAAGAAATGACAGATTCTGGATTTGTTAGTGGTGAGCATGTGAAATCTCAGGAATCGATGCGTTTTGCTCAGCGCGTAAAATTTTGTATGTTTGTGCTGCATACTCTGAGATATATTGCTCGAAATAATCGGCAAGATTGTTTCTTTTTAAACATTTGCGCTATATAGTTTATATTTGACCTAATTTTTTTTCTTTTTATAATACTCGACCAAAGATAAGGAATTATTTAATGTAATTGCTCTGTTAATGCGATTATTACGAGCGATATAAAATGCGCATCAAAATTGCGCCACCGAATTGCGCCGCCAGAATTACGGCGCAGAATTACGGCGCAGAATTGCGGCACAGAATTGCGACGCAGAATTTCGCGCGCGTGAAATTCGTGATCACTCATTTCGTTCGTGTTTTTATAAACCGCCGCGCTTGTCGCGATTGTCAGCTTTCAAAATATCAATTTTGCACGCGATAGAGATAATAGTGTCGTTTCAATCAAGATTATTGCTATTTTTTATCTGTTCATGTTTGTTAACTTGGGGTATTGAGAACTCCGCGGAACACGAACGTTTTCCAGCAAAATTTAGTAATTTACGAGACATTTCCCTTTTTCTGTGACTTCTTTCGCCATTCACTGTTTACGATTTTTTGCTACATGATACGCGACTCGCGAGTTACGTATGTCCGAAGCGCCGGAATTTACTGCATACTTTTCATTCGTTTGATTATACGTTGTTAAAATCATAACGATCGCAAATGAAGTACAGTGCAATTAACGAATTGCAACCAACATGGGGCAGCTCTCAATGCTGTCTCAATCAGGATTATCGCTACTTATGTAATCGACATACCTGTTTGTTTACTTCAAAATTTCAAATCCTCGCTCAACGAGAATCCATATTTTTCGATACGCGATAAGATGTATTGTTTTTTCCCGATCTTGCTGAGAACATCGCGATCTTCGCTTCGCCGATTAATTTACATACGATTCGCGACTTGGAAATATTATTTCAAAGTACCGGAATATACCGTGAACTTTTCGTTCAATTGTCGAAAGTGTCGCGGCCGCGAGTGAAGTGTGTACTCGACGTGGGACAACAGCTGGGCATTGGAAGGATACGATGGACCTGGACGTGGACCATCAATGTGCAATGGTGAGTGCACAACACGAACACTCAGAGAGTGTTCTCTCTTTTATATAACATAACATATGTTAAGTGCATGCTTAGACGCAAAACGCATCGATCTTCGCTGAGAAACTGTAAGGGAAGTTATTTAGTATTTAAGAACGCGAATAATTGAATATCTATATCTATAACATTTGAATATAATTGAATATCTGAATTGAAGTGATATTTTATAACTTGAATATTTGAACATATTTGAAACTCTGAAACTTGATTAGAGTCGACCAGACTCGGACTAGACTTGAATAATTTACGCGTGACAATTTATATTTGACTATCGATAATCAACGTATTAATATTTTATACGCGAGGAAATGAAGAATAAAAATCAGCCGGACCGGATTAAATATCGACACGTATCAGCTGAGCTTGCGGAAACTAATAATGAGCAACAAGTCGTGGCAAGTATTTGCCGAATACATGAGATTTATCCAATAAAATCATCCATATCCATCCATTAATCACACAGCCTTACTTGCTCGTGAGTAGGAAATTATCGTTCGTTCGTTCGACACTTACTTGAGGGGCAGGGAGACGCAAAGTAAGAGCTCATGTAAATTAAACCCATCACGGTCCCCCGTAAACGTCGAAAAACATCGGAGAGTTGAGAATGTTTCGCAAGTTAGGAGCGCGCGAGAAACTTGGACTCGCGTTACAACTGGCTAGACGTAGCGTCGGCAAGCGGCTTTTGATTCTACCTGTAGCTCCGCCGTGAAGAGCAGAACTATTTCGCAAGTTTTACGTCCGACAGCTATTCATAATTAAAAGCAATCGGTGCTTTGACAAATGACCGCAATTAAGGCTCGCTTCCTCCTCCGTTTCTTCAATCCTTACGCAAGACGTCGCTCGCGGATGATCGAAGCCATTGAGCGCGCACGGTGTCTAATTCGCTATCTCTTCACCAAATCGATTCCGTCAGGCAATATCCTCCATGCCTGGGCACTCAGTGGCGTCTGCGATTCGTCGCGCGGCCCGATCACAATAATAAGCGGCCTTTTATGACCGGCTCGTCGCTCGCCGGCTGATTCGCGCGCAAAAAATCCCTCTCTCCGAGAGTCCGAGAGAAGAGGTACTCTCTCCGGCGCCGGCGCGAGCGCGTTGCAGGTACTTCCGCGCTGAGAAATCGCGGGGACGCCCGGGAAAAACCGGGCATCTGATTGCCGGAAATATCTCGGGCTAATTAACGTTCGCCGCTCGTAAATTACGCGCCTTTTACATAACAATACATACGCGTTTGCCATCGGTCACCGGTCGTTCCGATGCGACGCGACGCGACGCGACGCGACGTACGAAGGCCGATTTTCGCGCTCGGTGTTGGGGTTTATTAGGTAGGACGCGCGCTGCGCGCGACCGCTTCGCGAATTACGACCGAGCCACTCGGCTTAGTGCCTTAGTACCGTTAGATTTCATTTGTGCGTCCGTCGGTGATACACGGTAAATTATGTATATAATTTCTCGTTTCTCGTAGAGAAACCCTCGCGCGGAAAATACAAAGTATCTATCTATAACGCGGCGATTAAAATCTTACACTGTGAATGGCCGAATGGACAGCGCGGCCAGCGCGCGTTCGCATTGAGGGGGAAGGAAAGTTGTTCGTATCGATTCGTAGCCATTTTCAACGCCGCTCTCGTGTCTTTTTGTCGTCTCGGTAAAAATATAGCTCGCGAGATGCATATGAGGTTGTGTTATCAGCTCGGTCATCGTCTCACTGCTGCAACTGTGGTCTCGCAAGTATTAAACATTTTTTTTTTCTCAAAGCGATACATGAATACTTTAGATTTCTCCACGGCTCGAGTAACAGGAAAAAACAGAATCGGTCGATAGAGTTTTGCAGCAGGACGTAGAATTCGCGACGACGCGAATTCAATAACCACGTGTAACATCCTCGATCCCCGGTCGCGCGCGGAGCAGCGAAAGTTGAGCTTTGTGTAAATGACTCCCGGTGCCCCTTCGACCACCACACCACCTCGTTCGAGACCCCTCACAATTTCGCACTCCTGTAATGAGATCTTTATCGCGAGATGATCGCGAGCACGCCGTCGCGTCCCGATCGCGCAGTCGGGATAACGATCTCTCCCGCTCTTCCTCTCGTCGCTGTTGCCTAGTAGCAATTTTCGGGCCAAATAAATCGCCGGTTATCCTCGCGATGACAAGGATGTAATGATCGAGGAAAATAGCGGGTTGCCGGAAAATTAATATCATTATTAGAGGAGGACGATGGCGATAATTCGCCGGTGTAGGATAACCACTGCACCGCCGCGCACGCGGTAATTTAATTTTGTCGGGAATAGTTTTTATATCGCGCTCACGCGGCGCTCCGATGCACGACCTCCGGGGAAATATAATGATCACGGGAAATTGGTTGTTTATTTATGCCTCGTACCATCGTAGATACGCGCCTCGATAAAGCGAGGCGCGCGCTCGTCCGTTGCTTCTTTATCGTCCCCCATTATCACCGCCGGATCTTTGATATAGCGTCAGTTGCTTCAAAATATGTGATTTTCGGACGGAGAAATTCAATGGAGGAGATCTAGGCACAAAGAAAGGAGGGGAGGGAGTGCAAAGAGATATAATATACTGATTTTTCAACTCCGAAAATTGATTTTCTCGAAAATGCGTCCTTGCATAGAGAAATTTTCTTTTATTTTTCATCTTTATTTTCGTGTAGTTTTTGCAAAGTCACCTGCTCCAGATAAATAAGTTTCCTGGTGATTCCTGTTAATTTACCTTTTTATTTACGCGAAATAGTTGAACGTACGTAATATATCGGGATACTATCGGGGAACTTTGTTCGTTGCTACTTCATATTTTTCTATCGAGAACTTTCAACGAGTTATCTTTACTTTCGGTTTTACGACTTTCGATTCTATAATTTCCTCACAATTGACGATTGGAGGGGTTAATCACTAATCATTAGTTGGATCCAATTCGTATTTTCGAGAAAATCACTCCCGAAACCTTCGTAACTTCCTGCGGCCGCGTCACGCTTTGTTTACGACCGCATCAAAGCAAGGCTGCTTCGGGAGAGTTCGACTTCCCGCCTCGAGAGATATCTCCGAGGGGACGAATGTAGTGTTTTTTTTTCTTTTTTTTTTTTTTTTTTCTTTAAAAGAGAAGAAGAGGAAAATGAAGTTTTGTCGCAAATAACGCACAAGTCTGCCGGCGCGTCGATCATCGTGACCTCATAACGGCCTTCTGAGGGGGGGACTTTTTTTTTCGCGAACCACATGTGAAAACAGGCCTCCGCACCCCCGTAAACCTGGCGGACTCTCTAACCGTCGATCCAGCGTACATTGCGGTCGTGGGAAAGGCGTCCCACGACACGAGATACTTTAGTCCGACCTTCCTTGCGGCATGATAAGCTTACGGGGCGCGTTTTGCGTTCTCAGAGGATCGAATTGCGAATAAATAGTCGTGCTTTTCACGCGACTAATTGCCGTGTCGGTGGAAACACGCGAACGCGCCGAGAATCGCGGGGTGAACGAGAGCGAAGCCGGGATCAGCCAGTCAATAGTTGTCCGGTTGGTCGAGAAGGGCGTACATGTGTGTCGCATCCCCAAGATGCACAAGACATCCACGCAAGGGCGTAGACGCGCTTCGAAATAGTCCCCTTTGCGACAAGGTCCACGACCGAAATAAATGTTTGCACGAAAATAAACTCGCCCCCCCCCCCCCCGGCAACCCGGGTCATGAGTTTACCGGTATGATTTTGTCGCGGCGCGATATTTACATATTTGCTACCTGAACAGCTTGTCAGCAAATATAAAACGTAAAAAATTTCTCGCGACGTGCGGTATCAGTTTCATAGTTGATGCGTTTATCCCCGTAATTTTACCGTAATTGCTTATTATTATAATGTTACAACGAATGCTTCAATTTGATCCTTGCCAACTAATCGTTAAAACTGCGTTCATGCTTTTGTACGATGCGATTATACGAGAGATACTCCAATATAATAGCGAAACGATCGAAAGGTACTACTACTACTACTACTACTACTACTATCTAATCGCTACCTCGTCGCTTTGATCGTCGGATTCGATCGATTATTATAAAAAGGAAAAGGAACAAGAGGAAGACTCCTTTCCATTCTTTCGCGCGCACGCCATCATTGATGGACAGCCATCAATCGCGTCAATTGCCGTAGGAACATCTCGGTCGGGGTTCCCCGACCTTAACCACGCCATTGGGTGGGTGCGAGAGGTTACCAAAGGCCGCAGCACCTGCAGCTTTCATCCCTGGGTACGTCGTAAATAGATGGGGCGAGGATTGCGACAAAAACAGGAGGTTTTGATCGAGGCTGAGAAATCTCCTCTCGAGCTATATCGAGCGCGCGCGATCGACCTGTTCTCGATAGCCGATCGAATTTCTCGGCGCGATCGATTGATGGCTTCGCGTCGTGAACGGAAAATGAATATCCATCTGACGTAAACGAGGCGTGTGGGACGTATTAGGCATGACTCGATTGAACACGTCGAAAAGTTGATCGTTGATGTATCAGCGAAGATTTATATTTGGGTCCGTGCTCCGTGTATCGCGCTTCGCTGGGATATATTTAGTGTTTCTTTCGACAGTAGTACAAATAGTTTATAAACGTTAACAAGAGGATAAGTATATTTCAAATTATCTGTGCAAGCTTTTAGAGGCGATGACTTTAGTGAAATGACCGTGTCTATTTTATTATTCTCTTAAATTTTCAACTCCGCGCTTCCTCCGATTCTACGCACGCGGAAACTTGACAAAATGCTTCAATTTTTTGAAGCCTCGTTCATACCCCTTGCCAATATTGAGAGCATGCTGCGGGCTCGCATCCCCTCGCTGATAGATACGCGGGGGTGTGCCCCTGCAAAAAAGAAAAGGGAAAGGAGGAAGAGAGGTAGGGGAAATGAGAAATGGGACGCGACGAAATACGAATGCGTTGTGGAGAGCGTTCATGGTTTTGGGATCCCTTAAAAGGGAAGGGAAGGTCTTGAGGGGGCCCGGCGGCGCGGCGGTCCCATTCGATGGCGCTCGCACGTTAGCGGTGACGCGCGTAACATTCGTCCCCCTTTCCCCCTTTCTGCTTTCTATGAGACACCTGTGTGCTTGGGCCGTCTCTCTCGTCTATATATTTATTTATCCAGCCGGTAGAATCGACGCGACCGACCTGTATTATGAAATTTATGAATAGCTCGGCCGGCTCGGCGGAGACGAAACGGGCCCCGTCGGATAAGCATGGCGATCCCCAGGGGTAGAAACGCCTTCCCGTGATGGTGCACACGTGCACGTCGTGTGTCGCGGTACCGGCTGCAGGTACGAGAAACGTGTCGCGTTTGATTTATCGCGCTGCACTACGGAATATTATTACTAACGTCGTCGTCGGCAAATTATTATTATCGCAAGAAATAAAGAAACTAAAAGTGGCAAACAAAAATGGAAGGAAGGAAGGAAGACTGTAATAATCTTCATTGACTATTTTTATTTATTTATCTATTTTTTGTTTTAACTAATATAATCCTCGTCGGGAAATAAAACGATAGCCTTTCCGAGTTTTCTCGAGTCGCACGCATCTTGAAAATCGAAATGAAGCGCGGACGTCACCAATAATCGTCGCATTTTTTGCTGAAAAGAAATATATATACTCGTATATACACACACATACATTTATATATAATTTATTCCCAGTGCGCACAGTTAGTTTATCGGCGTACTAAACGAGCGTACTGCGATATGAGCGCAAATTTATGAGTATTTCTTTTTCCTGTGCGAGGATACTAACACGTAACGAAGTAAAAGAACGATGACTTGGGAAGGGTGGAAACGCCCTCTTCTCCGCATGTGCGTGCCAGGCACCTCTGACCTTTCGCGTTTCTTCGCGAACGCACCCCGTGTAACGGGTCGTAGGTACAAGTGTACATGCGCAGCGAGAGGGGAAGCCAAGGATTTCACGTGGGAATCCCTCTCGACTCGCGACAATGGGCGTCCCCTCGTCTCGCCTTTTGCCGTAATATATTGCGGATCTGTCTGCGCGTTAGACGGCACTCGCGGCATCTCGTGGCTTTCGTATCGCGCGATGAGGACATACTCAGCGTAGCTACAGCGTGTCTTAATCGAGCGAGACAGCAGCGAGTACAGGCCGGCCGTGGCGCATAGAAAAAAAAAAACGTAAGCGACAAGATTCACGGACAATAAGCAAATCGCGCGGCCGATTACGCTCGAGTTCGATTTCGATAGACTTACGTTCTCGACACTTACGTGCCTCGGGTGCAAGAGACACTGGCGCGCTGATTCGCTTGTTGCCGCTCGCATCTTATCGCTTTCTGCGCTTTTCTGCGCGACACACAGCTTTATCTCTCGTCTGCTGATCGTTGCATTTGCCTTGTCGGGAATAAATAAATGTTGAAATGATCCTCGGGAATCGCATCTCGCATCTCTCGATGCGACGAGCACCTGTTGTTTCCTGATGATGCTACCATCCACGTCGCGACGCGCAGCGTCTTCACGTGGCAAGATCGTCAAAATCCTCCTAAAAGAATGCCTTGCACCTGCTCAAGCCCCAATACCATAGAGATAGAGATTGAGGTTTGCGAGATGATTTTCGACTGCGAAAATCAGCGATCGAGTCTTCCAAGCCGGTCGGTCTAATGTGTGTGATTCGCTGCGGCCGTCTTATTTTCTTTACGATCTTCGATCTTAAATCTTAAAGGATCTTAGTTTAACCTCGCGACTCGCGTGACTTTCGTCGGCAAACTCGCGCGAATGCCTCGTTAACGCGATTATTTACACGCTCGTTAACGGACGACAGCGACACCGACGCGACGGATCGGGAGCGCGAGACGTTATCGATCGCGGCGCGGAATATTAACGAGAAATATTGCTGCGTCCGCACGATAAAAGGAATAAAAATAACAAATAAGTCGGCGATAAGTCGTGACAAAGCCAACCCATCGGCCGATTTCCCAGCGGCGATTGTTTCGCCGATTGAGCGTCGTCCATCGCGCGTTTTTTTCCCGGCCTAAAAATGCATCTGACGAAATGGCCGAGACGTGAATTGATCTTTGCGCATCGCGTTAATTTTGACTCTTGAACATCGAAATTTCGGATATTTAATTTCGTGACTATTTCACATATGCCATAATTGCTTCCAACGAGACTTTCGAGAGAGGCTTACGAAAACTTGATGCGTTACAGATACGGAGCGTAAACGCAAAAAGATTTGAAAAAGATTTCGCCTGGATCCACGTTCGTTATTTGAGAAATGTGAAAGATAAAAGTAGAAAAATATTTGGAGGTGAAACTTGATCGGAAGTCGCTCTTGGACGATTTCTATTACCGCCGATACTTGCCGATATTTAAAAAGATTAGCGATGATCCCGGGTTATTTTACCCGGCAGAGTCGTGAAGAACGTCCCCGATGTTCGTTGTAAAATCTCGAAGAAACTACCGGCTTAAAAAAGGGCAATCAAGGAAGGAAGGGTCGATCGCGAGGAACGTCACCGCACGGCGTCATAAAGCAATATTTTTTGTTTGGCGACCCTTTTTTTTCCGCAGGCGCGTCGCGCAGGGTAACGCGGCTCGAACCGAGAGGGAGAGGGAGAGGGGGAGAGGGGGAGAGAGAGAGAGAGAGAGAGAGAGAGAGAGAGAGAGAAAAAAGCCCTCCTGGATTTATTTACAATTTCCAAATTACGTCCCTCCCACGGTAGATTACAGGATTGAAGATTGGACGAGAAACCGGTCCGCTTCTCGGGCGCGTCGTTGTCATCGTGTCACTTGCTCACGCTCCGATCTTACAGCGAGAGTTATACACGCCCAGTCTCTTCTCCCTTCCTCCCACATTTATATTTAATCCTATTGTATGACTTATTTCATTCGATGAGAGTAAAATCTCGGGAATGAGACACGACGGAGGCGTTTATGTGTCTGTAGAAAATACGCGACACACACACACACACACACACACACATACATTAGGTACGTTCCTCTACGCATCCTTTCATCTTTGCGGGGAATAAGAGCGCGAGATATAATAAATTTCTCTCCGTCTCTCCCTGCCTCTTTCTCTCTTACGATCAAAGGAGCAGATTCATTTTTCTTTTCTCCTGCTCCCTCCTCACGAAGCCGCGTCACCGCTCTCGGAGGAGTCGAAGAGTACTTTCTCCACCTCGAATTCCTGCTCGCGATCGTGCGCGAGCACGGACGAAAGTCGGAAGCGAATCGTAGGAGTTTCTAATTTCGACTTGACCTTCGAGAAGTGGGTTAAATCATAACAAGGCGCAACCTCTCCCGGGACCCCGTCTTGCTTTCAGCTGTTGGATCCCGCGCGACGCGACGGTAGACACAGATGGAAAGAAGTCGCGTCGCGCTGCCACGTTGGATGCGATGATTTATTGTTCGGCAACTTTCAACGTTGCGAGCGTCCGAGAGAAACGATCGTCTTTGTAACTTGTTTTATCGTGGCTGTGGTCTTAAAAACAAAAAAGATACACTCAGTTTGCGTACTACGTCTCATCAGGAGAAGATTACTCATTTGACGCCGAGCCGAGCCGAGCGTTGAAGCGATAGTAAACTCGAAGTGCAATATTATAGAGAGAAGGAAGTTTTATGATTATTTATTATTTGTCGTTGTCGACAATATTATTATTATTATTATTATTATTATTATTATTATCATCATCTCCTGACTTTGTCAAGTTTTCAGTCAAGTTAAATTCGACTCTATACACAATCAATCAGAATGAGTGTTGTACAATTTTGAAACATTAATTCTTTAACGATTTCTCTTCTTTGTTTCTTGTTTCTTGGTTCTGCATACTTGTTCAAGGCATAAAGGCAAGGTCACAATCACAGCGAATGTATTAATATGGCATTTTGTAGAGTTATTCAGCGACTTTTTATTCAGCGCCGAGTCTGGCGAACCATTCCATCTGCTCTCGGTTTCCGACAGTTAATGAAGTCGCGAGTCTTCTCCTCCGCGACGCGGTAGGAGATCTAAGTTTCTATTATTACACGAGAATTCCAACGACTTACAGGGCGCACTCGCACGTTCGCGACCGCGAGACAACTCGCTCGCTCGCTCGTTCGTTCGTTCGTTCGTTCGTTCGTTCATTCGCGATTCCGCCTTAATTAGCATCGCTCTCGACACAAGCAGACGTATCCCGCGACGACGAGAAACGACCACGAGGAAAACCGGCCGAGCATTTCGTGGCTGGTATCACCGTCGATACCGGGCGGCCGAGGTGTTTACGGTTCTCTCAAGCCGCCCGACACTCCTCTAACTTTTCTCCCTATGCGCCTCTCTTCTCTTCTCTCCTCTCTCGTTCGCCCTTGCAGTCGCTCTTTCACTCGCTCTTCGGAGAGTCGCGACGTAGTCCAACGGCGGCCATATTGAAGGTCTGACCTTGAAGGGATAAAAAATCTCCCCCGAGATGCCTCAAGGCTCGAGGCACTTTTTCCCCTCCTCGTCTCGACAGTTCGGTCCCTCTCGCCCGAACCAGACTTTCCTCCACTCCTTCAATCAGTCACTTCCTCCTCCCCTCTTCTTATCGCCTCGGCCCCCCCTCCTCTCCCCCCTCTCTCTCTCTCTCTCTCTCTCTCTCTCTCTCTCTCTCTCTCTCTCTCTCTTTCTCTCTTTCTCTCTCACGCTCTCCTCGTCATCGGTGCACTTTCTTGCTTCCACTCGTCGTGTTCTCCGTCTCTCTGCAGAATCCCCTCAAGTCTTCGCTCGAGTGTGCGTTTCCACTTCTCTCGCTCGTCGTTTCGATCTTGCCAGCAGTGCATCTCCCTCGATCTTATGGATCATTCGTGTCTCTCGTAATCTCATCTTACGGGCACATCGCCGTGTCTCGCTTCGACTTTGCTCTCCGCGTCTTTCTCGCGCGCGCGCGCGCGCGCGGAGTCTCTATCTCTTCAGCTCGAATCTTGTGGAAGGTTTCCGTCCTGTTCGTTCTGGCATTATGGGCAGTTAGTCTCTGTCCCTGTCTCTCGCTCTCTGGCCTCTCTCGATCGGTCTCCCCTCTCCTCGTTTCATGCCCGCGATATCGGGCCAGATACACGGGCGGGACTCGGTTACACGTACGCGAAGGGCCCGGGTGTGAGTCGGGGTTATATCAATTTCTCCGCAATAACAGAACGATAGAGCGGCGGTACAGCTGCTTCCAAAATTACGCGTCCCGCTGGACTTTGTCAAGCGAGAGAGAGAGAGAGAGAGAGAGAGAGAGAGAGAGAGAGAGGGAGAGAGAGAGAGAGAGAGAGAGAGACATATCTCGGTCTCACTGGGGATCCAGAAGAATAGATGAAAGGGTTTGAAAGAGAGTGAGAATTTGTGAAATTGAGAGAAAAGAGTACATCGAGAATTAACAAAGTGGTCGAGTTTATTTTTGCAGAATGAAGAGCAGCCTGAATGAAATGTGAGAACTTTCGCGGAAACATCATAAGCGCATAACGCAGATCTAGCCTAGGTTACATTTGAATCTCGCGCGACAGAAGACAGCAGAGGAACGAAAGATTTTTTTCTTTTTTTTTCATCGGTTCTTTCGTTCGATCGGAGAGAAACGCGCGAGGAAATGGCGCGCGTCTCGTTCGAACTAGCGGGGCGGGGCGAATACACGCACAGTTTCTCAAAGGTCCGCGATTCGTTTCGCGAACGAAAGGAAACGCGTTGCCCGCGTTTCCCGAAAAATGCTGCTGCGATCGTCGCGATTTTGCTTGCTCTCGGGTGCCGACTGCCGTGCTCTCGTCGTCTCGTTGCCTCGCCGAATCCGGGACTCAAGGGCGTGCGATATAACGAGTGTCGGCCGTGTTCCGCTGTACTTTTCTTCTCATAATTCCGTAGATTTGTATGCCGCTCGATAAGATCTAGCACCGAGGAGAGCAGTACAATGTGTGGCGGCTTGCTCGAGATTTCACGGCGGATACCGCGTGACTACCGCGCGTCACGTAAACCACACAAACGCACCGCGCGACCGGTCACCTACCGTGCGCGCATCCCCCCCCCCCCTTTATTAGCCCAGGTTAGTAATCTAGGGGACTTGTTGCAGCATTTAGAAACTACGAAACTATTATATTCTATTCTCCCCACTCGCTGCGCATCCATCGCGGTACATCATAAAAGCGAAAAGTTCGTCTGCTGTTAGTAGTTAGTAGTAGCTCCTTCTTCCTCGTTCTTCCTTGTTTCTTTTCTTGCTTCGCTCCGTTTTGCTTGGCTCCGCACATTCACACAATGGTCGTCGCACAAGCTAGAGTCTCACGCGTGACGCGTGATTAGCCCGAGCGAGGCTCAGATTAACATTTACGGGAAAAATGAGAATTCAATCGGAGCCTTTCGACGGAAATTGAAAGCGAGCGTGCCTGTGCGCCGTGTTCGACGTGGATCGTGGATCTTTTACTTCGGCTTTTCTTTGCTGTCTCAATTTGTTTCAATTACCGGTCGAATGAAGTTACGTTACCTCTAGGCGAGATAGGCAATTCAGCTCTGGATGCATCCACCGAGAAAATAGCCCAGTCCTGGTAGGCTGAGGGTTTTCCGCGAAAGTTGAAATTGACACCGTGTAAATTGTCCCCGTCAGACTCACCTTTCATCTGAAAGATCAAAGCGCGCGTGTTTCATGCATGTGCAACATTTGTATTTCAAATGGTCGAAAGCGTTCTAGGATTGGTCTCGCGACATTTCGAGAATGTGGATTCGCTCGCGAAGAGTTTCGTGACATACATACCGCAGAATGATGTAAGGACACGGCTGTGCAACATCGCAAAGTCGCGAGCGACTACTTTCCGGCTGACGTTATGATGTGTGACGTTCGCCGCCTCTCGCTCTGTTTTTTCCTTTTTTAATCTCCGGTTAATTCGCATTCGGAATAGAAGGAACTTCTTGTGAGTCTACCGATCGTGATTCCGATCGGTTCGCAAGATTCAGTCTACTGATATTCCCCGCAGTTCGTGCGGGGAAGCTGTTTTGCGAAATTTTACGGCAACGCGGATTATCCTCAAGATCTCCTCTATGCTTTTCCTCTATGCGCGAGAGATTCGAGCGATTCCATAACTGGGTCATTGTTTGCGTATCTCTCTGGCGTTCGAAGGATTAAAGTGCCGACTGTGTTTGAGACACGGCCCGAGGAAGTTGGATATCCAGCTTCCTCGGGACGCCATGGGTTGGTTCGATGGTACTTACAAAATGCAAGAGCCGGCTCGTCGTGTGATGCTTCAACCAGGGAAATCCATTATCCGCGCACGACACTCCGCCGCGCGAGTGCGCCGAGTCGCGCACGCGGAGCGCGGAGAGAGGGATAGAACGAAGCGTATGAGAATAAATTTGTCCTTCTCTCGTGTCGGATTCCTTTGTACGACGATAATAATAATCCTACCAGCGGAAACGTGATTCAACGCGATTCCGATTGATTGAATTGCACGAAGAACTAATAAAGCGTTCTTCTAAAGCGGAATTCGCGAATTTAGAATTTCAGGATCTCAAGATTTTTATACTTTCTGGATTATCTCGCGTAAAATTGTCTTGGGGAATAGCGGAGAACGCGAAAAGGAATAATAATATATGGACTGGTAAAAATTTAAATAAAATATTGCAATCCTCTGGATCGCGTTCACCTTTTTCAACCTTTTTCAACCGCTTTTTGTATTTCTCTTTATTTTTTTGATAATTTTGAATCTTCCTCGGGAATTTCCTTAATTATACGGGCATTATTTTTGTCGAAAAAAATCGAGAATAATCACGAAGACAACACTTGACGTCACTTTCACATTAATATTTTAGTAAAATTTAAATGTCGAATTTACATGAATAAGTAAAAATAAATACTCTCGATATAATACTTGTCCGGTCGTAATACCGGTCATTGATGTTTTATTTATTTGTTTTGTCTTAATACTTTCTGATTTCAATGAGTTTTCCGACTACTTTTTACCTCTACGTGCAAGAATTGGAACTTGGCTTTTTTTTTTTTTTTCAAAAGAACCAATTCTGAAAGTATAATTTGTAATTTTTTTCACGATTGGTCAAGTATTTTATTTATCTGGAATAAACATAAAAATCTCTGTGTATTTATAGCCAAGGAAAAATATCTGAACTCTCAAAAGTTATGAATATGAAAATTATTGCACCGGCAAGTTAGCCGCGAGACGTTTCTTGACGTCGTGACTTTTTGATTTCGAGTAAGTAACTCGTAGTCGAGTTTAATCTTTGAGCTGTAATTTTCACCGCTTGGATCTTTCAGGTCTGAAGGTTGGAAGGAGTCTGACTCTGAGATATCCAGCGAAATTCGCGAATCTCTACCTGCGTCCTATCTCGAATCTCGAGTTGCACCGAGACAGTTGAAATTTTCCGTTTTATTTTCCAAATTTTATTCTATCGCGTTCGATTGAAATAAGCCATTCATTCAGTCCACGGTTCTTTATTGAAAGTTCCGCCAGCATTTCCATATATTATCCGTCGGGAGTAACATTTGTTTAACATAGGAATTTTAGTCAATATAGGAGCGTCATGGGTATACACTCGTGCTTATTACGACAAGCGTACAAACGGTTAGAGCGAGAAGCAAATGCAATTGCTGAAGAAGACGTTGTTAGACGTTTAAAAAACTTTGAAGCAGACAATCGACCAAGACTTAACCCCAACAGATCAGTTTGGAGCATGAGGTTTCGGAAAAACTCCCGACCAATGTCGTGTCGTAGAGATTTAAGCTAATCTAATCCGGGCGAGGTTTCGAAATTGTAGAGGTTTCAAGAATTACGAAAGTGCCTCGAGAGGAGGAAAACGCCAGACTTTTGTAAGACCGGAGATCATTATCGCGCCGGGGTATCCATATACCAGAACAAAAATCCAACCTCGTTCAGTTGTGACGCAGGTTAGGGATGGTTTTTGGTCCGGACACTCGATCGCGGTCCGGGGAGGGCCGCGGGTCCCGGCGGCCCTGAACCTGTGGGAGATTCATTTTTCAAGGGATCTTAAGGACCTGCTCGTCCACTCTCCCCCTCTTCGTCGCTACCCCTCGTCCGCCCACCCTGCTCCCCACCAACCTGATCTCGTGAAGTAAGCTTTGTCGGTCTCTCTGCTCTTTCTCTCCCAGGGCTGTCCAAAACCGTTGCCAGGGCTTTTCTTCCTTGTTGTATGTACGCAAGGGAAAGTTTTCATTTTTCGAAATGTCTCGGCTAACCAAGGACGATTCACAGTCGCCCAAATTTATCTCGATTATCTCCTCTTGAATCGAATTTCACACGAAGCTCGCGGAGAGAGCTTCATGAGTCGCGAACGTGCTGTGAACAACGTACCCTTGAGATTGAATTTTGATTATTCGCATTTTGTTTGAGTGTCGCGCATCTGCCATTTGAAATCGGTAGTTATAACGTGATGTCTATATATAATAATTAAATGTGATATTAATTATTATTATTATCGCTGTGTTTTTGTTAATCGCAATTTTTTTTCATCGCTTTGATCCTAAATAATTTTCGTCTCCCCTATCCCCTATATATATATATATATATATACGAGATGGATACGAGCAATTGGATACAATTTGAATAATTTATACGAACATTCGGTTCGAATTCACTGGATTTCATGCAACGTTTTCGACGTTTTCGAGTGAAAGGAAGAGAACGCTGCTTTTGCGTCGGATTGTACGATCCAACGATCCTGAAACTTTTAGCACAAAGTGTACCACACTCTCAGTTGTTTACATTTTAACCGATGGCAACGTTGCCAAGTGTGCTGTGGACCTGTTGCCGGTTCCATGGCGAAGATCTACCATTAATTAACTTCTTAATGACACGTGCGCCCAAATTAATCCTTATCTCACGTCTCCCTTTTCCGAATAATCGACGACTGACGTTTGTGAAAATTGAACGCTGCTTTATCGCGGTAAATCTTATCGCGTATCTCACGTCGGTCTCTGGCGAACGAACCGGGCCGTCGTTACGTATCCGACCATTCTCGTTTCATCATCATCATCATCATCGTCATTCTAGATACATCTCTTGTGCGATTGTTAAATTAATTAAAAGGCCGTGGTATTTTACTCTCGCGATAGCTACGGGTAGGAAAGTCAGCTTTTGATTGCGAAACGGGAAAAGAAGACTCATTCGAAATGTCGAAATTTCGTAATTTAGGATTAAGGTATCGACGAAACTGTGTGTGTGTGTGTGTGTATATCGTATATCGATCGAAGGCTCGGAAGTTATCGGGCTCTTTTATAATCAGCCTCCCCCACTTGTAGCCGTTAGCTGCCAAGCGCCGAGAATAACAGTGCCGTAGGAGACGATAACTTCCGTGCCGTAATTACGTTTCTTTTTCTGTGGCAGTAATCTTAGAATTTTGTATCTCTGGTCGATGAGAATAGCGCAAACACTTTCATTAAAAAGTAATTAATCTTATCCGCCGGAGAAGTAGCGTTGAAAAAGTTCGACGGAACGTACGATTCTTCTGCTCGTCTTCTCTCTCTCTCTCTCTCTCTCCCCCTCGTCGCTTTTTGCTACTTAACGTGGTTGTAATAATATCGACCGTTGAGTTTCGTAGGATCGACGACGACAATTGGAGCGAAGTATATTGAAACGTGGACGAATGTGGATAAATATTTTTCACGATTAGAGACGCGACAGATCTCTTTCTCCGAAAGAGAAGCAGCTTTTTTTTCTATCTTTCCGTTCACGGTAAATACTCTCGAGCGAGACGACAAAAAGATTTATCTGATAATCTTTTGCACTTTTGCCCTTTGAAATTCTGTTTGGTATAGATAGCGCGTATCTCGCGCCCAAGTCACTCGTGTATGTTTTAAAAGAAGATAAATGTAGAATAGATAGACCGAATTTTAACAGAGTGTCTGAAAATTTAGGACTTTGAGCCAAAGCAATATCTGCAGAAGATTATCTGCACGTGTAACACGATACACGATGTTGTAATACGTCAAATTGCGGAAATGACAAATTAACCGCGTCATCAATCAACAATCATAATGTACGTACGTATTCATATATGATGCAAATTATTGGAAAAGACATTTATTTCAGTAGACGGATTTATTTCGACACGTTTTAAATGTAAGAGTTTCATCGCAGTTCGATATACAGTAGTTTCGTCCAAGTGAACAATAGCATAAACGAGCGCAAACGCGATGGCGGCAAATTGCTTCCGGCAATATGCGTGACTCGGCGCGAATGAGGGGAGAAAACTTTTTCCAATAATTTTGGTTATTGCGACGAGGTTATTGAGATTTGCATCTTTGCCAATCATTCCCGCCGCCTATCCCGCCCCTCCTGCACGACGTGTGACTTGGTCGATCTCTTCGCACTGTGGAAACGTTTTCACGTCCGAAAATATCCTCAGTCCGTAAACACTTTCCAACGTGCAAAGATATTTTAATGCGTGGAGAGCAACAAAGCAAGGCGCGCCACGCATGCGCCACGCAGCGCGGAAAATGTTGCATCCGCGAGTATTTTCCCGTCCGAGTGCAACAGCGTCGTCCCGGTAGACCGGCGGCGGCGATTAATATTTATTCGAGCGACATTCGGCATCGATTGTTGTATAATTCAACGCTCGAATGCATTATGGATCGTCGCATAACTCGAGTTAC